CATATTTACGAAATTTGATAAAAAGAAAAAAAAACCTCCAATATAACACTTTCGCAGAAACTAAAATTCAAAACAGTTTTTTGTGACACTATTACAGATATATGTATTAAATACTTGTACTTTATTTATCATGTAAATTTTTTTATTGATTTATTTCGTAATGTACATCATCATATATAGAAATGGGCTATTCTACAGTTAAAGTTAAGTAGGATGTGAATACAAAGTTTTCATTGTTTATTTTATGTAATTAAAACGTTATTTATAAATAAAGGTTATTTCTTACTGATATACATATATATATGTCAGAAGGAGATAACCCCCAAACTTATAACTACGCCACTGCCAGTAGGGTAAATAAACTTAGGTGTGTGTGTGTGTGCCACCCCGGCAAAATTTATAAGTGGCCTGTATCTTAGATTTACCACAAAAAATTAAAATCTGGTTAGCCACTCATATCTATAAGAAATATTGTTTTTCCTGTATATGTTATACACAATATATTAAGAGGAAACACACATTCACTGTGCTCTTGTGTGAGCTATATTAAACTAACTATACTAGTTTTAAATACTGGAAAATAATAAGGAATAGCTTCAAATAATGTTATAGTAAATGAAATAGTATAGTATAGCTGTACTATCATCTTCAAATATCCCATAGATTGCACTTTGAGATGTCAGAATGTTTTAAAAGACAAAAATAAGAAATAAAATTCCCAGCATTTTCCCAGTTTGTAAGGAAACATTCAAAATTCCTTGCATTTTCCTTGTTATTTTAGATGATTTTTAAATTTCCTGCATTTTCCAGGTTTTCCTTGTGGAGTAGCAACACGGATAAATGAAATAAAAACACTGTAGTGCAGTAGCAATAATAATCAGTAAATTTAATTTATGAGAATGAAAATCATGATTTTGGAGAAAAGGCGCAATTTAGAAAGGGTACTAAATCTAAACATTGTCAGCAACTACAGTGAAATGAAATGTATTTTAATACCAGAAAATAACTGAACTTTTAAGGTAAAGTAACGTCGCCTTCGAATGAGGCGTATCTAGCTAATGAGGCGAATGGGGCTAATCGTAAGCTCAAAATTAGGTCATTTGTTATAGACGATGTGGTTCTAAAATAAAATATATTATAAAGTAGCTGCTTTGGCTCATGGGATAGAGCATCAAATCCCAGCGGTGACTGGTTGATATGAATTCTGCTCCTGGCTTGCACCTACTACAGTGCTGACATAAAATATCACCCATGGTAGACGGATCATGGGTTAGAAACCCCTTGCCGACAGGCTAGCCATGGGAGGTTTTCATAGTTTTCCTTTACATGCAATGCAAATGTGGGTTGTTTCCACCAAAAGTCCTCCACAAAACCACAAAGGCTAGTTTGTCCCAATATTTGATCCATAATTTCCTTTGCTTTCTTGGTTGGGTTCAAATTACAAAGGTACAGAGTTGAATATTGATAGTTGTAAAATCAGAATTGGATTGGCTCTTCAATGCTGGTTATAAAATATATTATAATGAGTTATTTTCTTGTATTATAACTCAATATTATAATTATAATATTTTATACCATATCTTAAAATAATTATACTTAAAGTTCAGTTAGGGGCTATTACTATTTATAAAGGGAATCAAAAAATTATTTCATAAAGAAAAAAATGTTTTTATTTTAACTCTCTAGGGTAATTTTTAATGGGGTGCATCATCCGTGACACAGGAATGCTATATATGCCACTGATCATGCCCGATTTTTACAATTAAACTGCAATATTAGCTCACCATCAAATGCACATAAATAAAATCTATTGTTTTAATCATGTCACATGTTCTAAAATACTTTCTTCAACAATGAAAAAATTCATAGGCATTTTCATAATTATGGATGGAGTAAAGTTTTAACTCCAACTTTCCAGTTAGTGTCTGCTCACAGCATTTTGGTCTAAACCACAAATATTCATCATGCAATTATTTGAAATATTAATTAAATCTCTTTAAAAATTAAAAATATTAGCTGCATTATTTTTAAGAATGTTTTCAAAAATAAGTGTGAGAATATTTATTTTAATTTGGAATAATTATCTGAAATAATTTTGCATGCAATGATGGCATGTTAAGATGTTCTTTATTAAAAAAGTTTAAGCTTTTATGATTATATATCTTAAATTTTTATAATATGATAAAAATATTTTTTAACATTTAGCTTGTAAGATAATAATCCATAATTTCAATCTTTTGATAATTTCAAAACATTATTTATAGAACAAAATGCAAGTATGAATCAAGAGCATTTGTTTGAGAAATACAGTCAATGATGTGGAAGGGAAAGCTTGAATCAAGCTCAACCCTAAGGAAAGCTTGAACCCAAATGAATAGGGAAATTCATAGAATAAAAAACATAATTTTTTTTCTTCTTCTTGGAAACAATTGATATTAAATTTTTAAAATTGTTTTAATGATTACAACAATAAAATACTAGCAAGTTTTGAACTTGAACTCCCTCAAAATTTGAAAGAAAAGCATGCAGAGCTGAAAGAATTGGAGATTTTTTTATGATAATTTTATTCATGAACTGCCAACTAGCCCTATGAAAGTGTTGTCATAATTTAATGCAAATTTCTACCCATAATAAAAAGATTATTGAAAATATTGAGCACACTTCCTTTTGAAATATGTTCTGCCAAGAAAAGTTTCTTGTTTTTATTGAGGGTCAGAAGACGTTTGAGGAACAAAATAAGTGTAGACAGACTGGCGAGATTAGGTTTAGTATCTTTCATACGTCACTTATTATGAGGTTTTTAGCAAAATGGCTTTGTCTAACAGAAGAATTTTACTGTAAATTTGTTTTGATTTTTAAATTAGTTTCATCAAATAAATTGTTGCTAAGCTTTAAACATCTTCAAAATCATAAATTGTGTAATTTATGTTGAAAAATTTTCATACTTAAATTGTAATTTATTTATTCCTAAATATCTCCGGCTTAGTAGATTAAAATTTTTTGGAGTCCCCAAAATGAAATACTGGGATATACAAAATCATAATTAATAAACTAATGGCAATTTAATCTTAGAAGTAGTAAATGATCAACAGGAATTAAAAAGTAGTATTCATTGCTTTAGATTTTCATTCCAAAATTATTTTAAAAATTTTAATAAATAATTCTGAACCTTTAAAAATCTAAATTAGAAATTAGTATCACATCGTTCAGTTAACTGATTAGCCATTTGATCACCTTCGATTTTTCACCGGCTGACCAGCAAACATGGAAAAAAATATATTGTTGACGGATCATGAGATCAGACATCTAAATGTGTGAAAAAAACTTTTGAAAAGTAAGAAGTACTTAAAGCTAAAGCAAGTGAAAAGTACAAGCACAAATTAAAAGTATATTTTACAGAAAAATATGAATAACTTACATTGAAATGTATAAAAAAGAAATTAAATTTGACTTCAATTCAAGAATTTTNAGACAGACTGGCGAGATTAGGTTTAGTATCTTTCATACGTCACTTATTACGAGGTTTTTAGCAAAATGGCTTTGTCTAACAGAAGAATTTTATTGCAAATTTGTTTTAATTTTTAAATTAGTTTCATCAAATAAATTGTTGCTTAGCTTTAAACATCTTCAAAATCATAAATTGTGTAATTTATGTTGAAAAATTTTCATGCTTAAATTGTAATTTATTTATTCCTAAATATCTCCGGCTTAATTGTTTAAAATTTTTTAGAGTCCCCAAAATGAAATACTGAGATATACAAAATCATAATTAATAAACTAATGGCAATTTAATCTTAGAAGTAGTAAATGATCAACAGGAATTAAAAAGTAGTATTCATGAGGATAGTATCATTGCTTTAGATTTTCATCCCAAAATTATTTAAAAAATTTTAATAAATAATTCTGAACCTTTAAAAATCTAAATTAGTATCACATCGTTCAGTTAACTGATTAGCCATTTGATCACCTTCGATTTTTCACCGGCTGACCAGCAAACATGGAAAAAAATATATTGTTGACGGATCATGAGATCAGACATCTAAATGTGTGAAAAAAACTTTTGAAAAGTAAGAAGTACTTAAAGCTAAAGCAAGTGAAAAGTACAAGCACAAATTAAAAGTATATTTTACAGAAAAATATGAATAACTTACATTGAAATGTATAAAAAAGAAATTAAATTTGACTTCAATTCAAGAATTTTATTTCAATTTTCCTAACCTTAGCAGCCTCACACTTAATTGTCCTAAAAGATTTTTTAAATCAACAATTCTTTTATATCTTAGATCATCATATCCCTTTTTGAACTTTTGATTGTAATTTAAATGCAACTTAAATGACAAAATCAATAAAACAAATAAGAAATAAAATTAATAAACAGAATATTCAATAAAAAAACAATAATTAATTCTATTTAAAAAGCTTTGTAGTAGCTATAGTTTGTCTACGGTAAGAAACACCTCCTGCCAGAAAGTCTGCTATGGAAACAAGAATAGCACATTTCAGAGACGGTAGCTTCTCTTCAGTCTAGGGCTAACACAATAGCCCCAAGAAAAAGATTCCCTTTCTCTCCCCGACCCCAGCCAAAACCTGTCCTAAACAGTGACTCCACTCCCCTACTTGAAATAGTTATACCTCATTATCATAGTCACCCCCTCAGGTTCAGATGAATGGCTAAAGGAGTTCTTACTTTAGACAAACTATAGATATTACTATTGCAAACATTGATGGTGTAGCTGTGTTGCCATCAGTATCAGGGAAAAATTTTGAGCATAAAATTATTATAAAAAAAGTAACTATAAGAATGAAAAAAAAAACGGTCTTTCATAACTGGCAACATTACTTTTTCTGCATGAAATCATGTATAAAAAAAAAAGTATTAATTGTCAAAATTTGCCAAATACTAGCACTAATATATTTAACTTTTTAGTACTTGTAACAGAATAAAAGTTACTACCATGAATGATTAAATGTGATATCATTTAAAGATTAATAATACATAGTTATTTTATAAGATCCTATAGAAGATCACTTTATTATATTTATTGCACGATTTTCACTTGTAATTGATTGAATAATATAATATCTATTTTAAAGTTTATGTTTTAACACGTGATTATATGTTATGCAAGATTCTAATAAATGAAATTACACTAATACTTCTTTGCTTTCATTAGAATTTGAAGAGTCTTGCCCAGAAATTCCACTGGAGTAGCTTTCATCGATATAAGTATTACTATCATCTTTTTGTGGAAGAAAGTGAAATGGTTTAATTTTTAATAGATCAGCCATATTTTCAGCTAGAAAAGTAACTTGTTTAAGTTTTAATTTTTCATTTTCAAAAGAATATTCACAACAACGCTTTTTAAAGTCTTGCATCATTTCAATAGATTTTTCTTTCTCATCCATTTCATATAACAACAAGGCATAATTTAATGAAATAGCAGGATCAACTGAATCCAGCTTTAAAGCTTGCTCATAGGCTTGTGAAGAGTTTTTAAAATCTTGTAAATATTTCAGCGATACAGCTAAGAGCATGAAAAGATGACCACTGTGAGAATTAAGATTCATCGCAGCACTTAGAAAATGAAAAGCAGATGCATATTGTTGCATTGTAAGATGAATCAGTCCTAAATTTTGTAGAATTTGCCAACTAAAAGGGGCAAGATAAGTTGCTCTTTTTAAACAGCTAATAGCTGCTACATATTTCTTTTTTCCGAAAAAACACATTCCGATATTATTCCAGAGGGCAGGACTTTCTGGAATTTTAGAAACAGCAATGCGATATTTAGATAGGGCTACTTCATAATCATTATGATTTTGAATAATGCTACCAGCAGCTAATATAGCTGGAACACATGACGGGTCGAAAGCCATGGCTGTACCTAATTTTTCAAATGCTTTTTGATACATACCGCACTGAAGATATAGTAAACCAAGTTTAGAAGCCAATTCAGGATTTTCAGGGGAATTTTCTACTGCTTTACGATAGGTAGATATAGCTGCTTTAATGTCACCTTCGAGAATATGAAGCTGGCCTAGAGCTATAAAAGTGTCATCATGTGGACGGAGTTGCAAAGCTTGTCTGAAATAATCTAAGGCTTGTTTATTGTTCTGAAGTTGCATGTAACAAATTCCAAGATTATGACAAAGTTCCCAGTCTTTACAATTCATTCGTGCTGCTTCTTCATAGACATCAATTGCATTTTTATGCCTTCCAAGAAGAAATAATGAGCGTGCAACTTGCTTCAAGTTTTCAGCTGATGTATTAAGTATGGAGCACGTCTGAAATAATTCTAAAGACTCTTGAATTCTGCCTTCATGACGTAGTATTAAGGCTTGGACGTAAAGGGCATATTCACACATTCCTTGCGTTTCATCTAATTGTTCTTTTATAATAAGTTTGCAAGTTTCATATTCTTTTCGAGTAAAATGTAAATGGATTAACCAATTCCGTCTTTCTAGAGTGGGCAAATCAGGAGCTTTTCGTACCAAACCTTTTTTACTACCATGCAAAGGTTTATCAGTTTCAACAACAACTAGTTTTGTTTGTTCAGCAGAAATATGATCAGATTTATTTACAGCGTTTTCGGAGCTCCGATTTTGAGAAACAGATTCATCCATTTCCGCTAAAAATTCAAATTGTAACAATTCAAAAGTAGTTAAAGATTTAAACTATGCGCACAAGGAAAAACTTAGTAGTAAACCAGATAAACAGTCAACAACTAGATTACCATGGTTACCATCTCATAACAAAAAGCTCAAGTTCTGATGTGAACAAAGTCTTAAGGAGCATTCTCACTGTATGTGATAGCTGCACCTATGGATGTGTTTTCGACACTAGGGAGCGCTGCAAGCTGTATGCCGCTTATACTTGCGGGTTACTGTTTCCGGTGTATTTTAAAGCCATTTGGCTCACAACGTGATCATTGTGTTTGGAGATTCTTGCAAACGTGGTATTTGAATACTCATTACTACACTTAATCTTGCTCCTCGAACAATATGCTAACACTAACGTAAGATGGTGCACAGATTGCACCACGAACAAACAGTAGTAAACAAATGGAAAGAGGCCAAATAAAGACTGCCAAAAAAGCGAGTTATTCAAAATCTAGCAACCATGTCACCTTTTTTAACAATATATCTCTAAGTAACTAAAACAAATTTTCACTTCAAATTCACCAGAATTACATAATAACATTAATATCTTATGAAATACTGCAGATTTAAGCTCAGAAATTATCTAATTTATTTCTTTTATTGAAAACAAAATTATCAGTTTGAAAATATCGCCTCGCAGAATAACAAGTAGTAAACAGCTGCAAACTTTCTAACCGGAACTAGAGCAGGCATACAGCTCGAGATTGTTATTGCTTACATTTCTACTGAAAACACCATCCATAATCGTCCTCAATTTTCAGAATTTTCAATATCAGAATCGCATGCAATTTCCTTGATCACGAAAAAATCGCATCCAGGGTAAATTGCTCTTAATAATTTTTCCTCCCTTGGATGAATTTTAACAAATTTCACTAAAACCTAAAATAGCAAAGCAAAGATAGTTTCAAACTAATGCTTTCTACGAGTTTGAAAGAATTGAGTCTTCGGTGCTGAAACGCATATGAAGCGTGGGTTTGGTATATCCGCTGGAATTCTTATTGAGATTTTGGGACCATTTTCACTACTTGCGATTCGCACAATGGCGTGGCAATTCCCGCATCTCTTATCGAGAAAGTATTGGAACCTGATTTCTGATAAATATTCTCCCGTGAAAAACTCAAAAATTTCTTTTTTTCTTTGACGGTGATCGAATTATTCGCATTTAGTGTGACCGGCTTCATTGTATGGTTTCTAAAACCGGAAGAAATTTAAAAAACTACTGGCGTATCCCTCCACTTACGTTATACAGGATTACGCGGCGATGTGTGAACTAGCTTAATATTCTAGGAAGTTTTATTATTGTGATTTTTATTCAAATGTATGCCAAATAAGAGCCAAGTTTAATAATAAATACCATTCATAAGTGTTTTCTATAATTTATAAATTCTTACAGGTTGTGAGCCTAAAACAAATTTAAGAAAATTGATGTCATAATTTAAATAAAGTGTAAGGCTATAATCATGTACGTGTAAAATATTGCTGATTTTTGTTTTTTGGGTAGCATTACAGCATGCTAGTAAAATGCTTGTCTTCCAAATTCATTTGTTTTTTGTTTTGTTGAAAGTTGAATTGAAACAACGAGCAATATTTTAAGCACTACAAGAAATACTGAGTGACGCGGTTTTCCAAGATTTGGCGTAAAAATCAATCTGAAGTGATAACCCGGAAGTCTTAAGACGAATTTGATCAGCTAGCATCAGCTGTGCTCAGCTTTATATTGTCAACCATCCATAGCCATAGGCTATCGTAACGCTCGAATCCGCCATCTAGTGAGAAAACCTGTTCCATGCCTTTGGCCCTTCTCCCTTCCCACTTCTCTTTTTAGTTGTATTGGAATGTACTACGATATTTTTCCTTTTCTTAATATTTTTCATTAATAAAAATATTTTTTTTTAAAATTTTCATGATGCTTTCTTTTAAAACTATGTTTAATGTAGTTTTCAGTTCCATATAATTTCACAACTTTAAAGATTTTTATCTACGTGAAAAACTAACGTACTTCCTCCTTCTATGACTCTCCACAAGCTAATGGTGAAAATATGTCAAGTGTTATCACAGGTAGAGAGTTCTACTCTACACCACTTGTAGCCAATTTCGATCGCCAATTGAGAGGAAAAGAGAACCTGATTGATGAGTTTTGCGGTGAATATATTTCCCACATCAGGTTCTCATTTTCCCTCGATGAAGATCGGAGGTGCATAAATCGAATGCAGGAAGAATGGCTCTTTCGCATTTCTGAAGTTTAGCAAGGATGAGTCACAAAGGTAAGTATTGGTCCTCGTTAAACTGTGCTACCGTAAAGTGCTCGACTTCGCGCGCAGGTCGTCGGGCTACCGAAGCGGGGGTGTCATCCCCTCCGCAGAGGATCAAAATTGTGATGGTATGTCTTCGGATCATCCTCTGGGATGTTTCCCAGACCGTCGCCAATAGCCCATTGTGCAGCTCTAGCGCGACGTAAATTAACAAACAACAACAAACAACAACAACAACAACACAAAGGTAATGTAATTTTAGAAAACTAAAATTAGCAGCTGATTTCTAAGTTTATATATTTTTATTTTCCCATTCACACTTTATACAAATCATCTTATACAAAATTTCCATTTTTTAAATTTTTTTTCTTCTCTTTTTTTATAAATAAGCTTAATAATTGCTTAATAAGCTTAATACATTTTTGAACAAATTAAAAGATTTTATTCGTTCCAATGTCACTGATAAAAATTGTTATACTGCCTTATTAGGTCATACGTGAAAGCGTCTTTTCAGGCGATGCAATTCCTTCTTTCATTCCCGCAGTCTCGGTACCTTTTTACAGACAATTTAAGTTGTTCATCACCAAATAATAAATAAGAATTACTTATCTTAAACTTTTAACACTTGAAACTGGTATGAATTTTTTTAGTTGTTAAGGATTCTAATTTGACATAATTTTATTCGTTATACTTGTATGATTTTATTTGTTGTTGTTGTTGTTCATTTACGTCGCACTAGAGCTGCACAATGGGCTATTGGCGACGGTCTGGGAAACTTCCCTGAGGATGATCCGAAGACATGCCATCACAATTTTGATCCTCTGCAGAGGGGATGGTACCTCCGCTTCGGTAGCCCGACGACCTGCACGCGAAGTCGAGCACTTTACGATAGAGCAGTTTAACTAGGACCAATACCGCACACCCTCGGTCCCTACGCAGACTGATCCAATCGGTGATCTGCTGGGAACCGTGTCTTAACGATCAGTCCCCTGCGGGACTGATTTTATTTAGATTATATCAATTTATATGAAATGTAGATGATAATGCTTCACTTTTTTAATTTTTTTTTAATTTGGGAAATCCATTATGGTAGATTTTTTCAGTAAGGCTACCTTGGTAATAGTTCAACAGAGATCATGGAAACTTATTTTCCACCAAAAAAAGTTCAAAAACTCACCACCAAAGGGAAAAGGAACTGAATGCAATATAGTTAAACTAAATAAGCCCTGAAGACATCGGTTTAAAATGTGTAGTTTAATCGTTTTTTGAAGCATGTTTGATTTTGTATATGTAGAACTGCAGTGTTTTACGCATTTTTTGTACACCGCACTCTATGGTACGCCTATTCGAAACGTGACAGCACGCATTCTGCATGCACCGTGTGTGCTGCTCATTGTTTTATTTTCTCCACTGATTATGCAACAACTTTCTCCACTGATTATGCAACAACTTTTTCCCCTCTCAGGTGCGGTTAGGTTAGATTCCGACACTTATTTCGTTTAACAATATTGCATACATCATTTAATCCCTGGCTGTGAGTTTTTGAGCATTTTTGGAGGAAAATAAATTTCCCTTCCCTTCTTAAAACTACTATCAAGTTCGATAATATTTAGTCCAGTAGTTTTCCTCTTATGGTCATTTTAAAGTGGAACTTCAAGTATAACCACCATGCATATTAAAGTTAATTTAAAATTGTTTTCTTCACTTCTGTGTTATACAAATTAGCTTCCTTCTCTTTTAAAACATAATTAATTCTTAATATATATTGTTGGATATATTTATCATTACTTATGCGACATGGATTAATTTAAAAGCTTAAATCATGTCCACGCATTTTTACGGCTGTGTACAAAATGTCATCGGTGAAAACCAATGAATAATTACATGTAGTTATATCCAAAAGTCGAATTTTTTCTTGATTAAATTTTGTAATTTTTCTCTATATATTTATTGTATTTAAATGCTGCTAAATAATGCATTTGTTATAAAATAATGCATTTGTAATAAAATAATGCATGAGTGGTGATTTTCTTTAGCTAAGAATCTTTTGAATATATCAACAAAATTTTTGATAAATTCTCACTTCAAAATTAAACTGTTAAAAATATTGGTGTATGTTTATTGAGGAACTATGATATTGAGCAAATGTTTTGAAAAATTTTTTAAGGTGATAAGTTGAGCCATATTAGCAATGAAGTAGCGTTGAGTTGCACCTGATGGCATGAAATGGAGTTTTCGCATTTCTCTTCGTTTGATTTCCCATGTCCATTCATTTGACTACATAGGCATTTCTTAAGTACTCTCTGGTATCGAATGGTAAATGATGACTTAACGCATACGTTGTATATGGTTCAGTTAAGTTCAACTTGAACGAAAACATGATTCAATTTACCTCTTATCAATGTTTCATCAAACTCGCATAATAATATGTTTCATATTATTAATATTATTGTGTTAATGTCAGAAGATTTGTTTTCCACAAAATTTATGTGTTATTTGTAGGTATTACACAGGTTTTTTTCAGACAGTTGATTAAAATTAATAGTATTTACAGAGTGTTCTGTAATGACTACGTTTAATATGCATTTTTAGAATCCTTACCATTGCATGTCAGTTGCATTTTTAGAAGCCTTGTTTTCAATTAAAAACAAAATGCTTACTTACTAGGGTCACTGACAGACATTTAAGCAAGGAAGATGCAAAATGGTAAATGGCAGATATCGAAATCTGTCGGAACTTTAGTAAAAAAAAGGTGGGATACTAAAACCAGTTTGATGGCCTGATGAAGCTTGGAGATGTTCATAATAATTATTTTTCAACTTCTCCTTGCTTCCTCTGACAATAGATTTTTGCGTTTTAAGTACAGCCTCTTGCACTAATGATTCTTTAGACTTACATAATGTTTTTTCTGACATAAATTTTCAAGCTTTAATGTGCTAAATTTTATTTTAAATTTTTGACAATAATTCTGAATATCCATATCAAGAGAGGATTTTTACGGAACAACTTGCATAATATATTTCGTTATTTATTTTATAGATTGTACATAATATTATTCTTTAAAAAAGTGTACAAATAGCCTTTTATTTAAATTTGGAATCTATCACAATGTTTTAAATACCTACAGGGTTTGTCTGAAAGTAATGTTATTGACATATTTGTGAAGCAAGAGTTGGTCTTAGCGCGGACTACTTGATATTTTTAATAAGGACAGTCAGCTAAGTCAGTTTCAGCATGCGTGCACACTCACTGGATGCGAAAAAAAATCGCATATGCAATTTCGGAAGTGTGAACGAGAATATGAATAGAGTGTTTTTTACGGCTAAATGCTGTTCACCAATTAGGTTTTCACTCGCATCTCCGTTTTTGCATATGCGATTGTTTTGCATGCAGTGTGAATCACACCTGTGACTGCTGGCGAGAGAGAAGGAGAATCTGATTGGCGAAATATATTCTTCTGCTGAAAACTCACCAATCAGGTTCTTCTTCTCTCCCAAAGGTGATCGAAGGTGCGTAAATCGCATATAGTGAGAACGTTTCCACGATTTTTGTGAAACTCATTTTTGTCTCCCAAGTCAAGCAGTGCTTAATGGATTGCCGTCAGTTTTTGAGTGAAAATAAGTCCACTGTCGCAGATTTTCCATTGATAAAAATGGCTTTCGTTGATGACTGTTTATCGAAAATCAAGGACTAATGGTGGTTCAGGGCATTTTTTTCCCTTTGCGATCCAGAAAGTTTTTATTATAAAGTTAAGTCAAGAAAATCCATAAGCAGTGGGTCATCGTACTCTCATCCATCAAGAGATAATAACTTGAAATTTTCATTTTTAAAAATTCAAAGCTGTAGATTAAAAATTTCATAGTTTAAGAGGTAAAAACTATTAAATTTTTAGTGTTTTATATTATTATCGAGACGCCCGGTGACTGAGTAGTAGCGCTTCGCCCTTCCGTGCCACAGGTCCAGGGTTCGATCCTCGGGCCAGGAAAGGTTGACTCAGTCTTTCATCCCTTTAGTGGGTCGATAAATGAGTACTAAGCATGCTTGGGAACTAAACACTAGGGGTTTCGCGTTCGGCTAACCACCTAACCGGAACATCTGCTCCTGCACCCCAGAGCCCAAGGTCAAGAAAACTGAGATGGGCACAGTAGGTCTTGGCCCTGTATGGCATGTCACGCCACTGAGTTTAGTTTATATTATTATCGAAATTTAGTGGGATAGATTTTATCCCACCATCCCTAAAATACTTAAAAACCGGGAGCTGGGTCATTGTTGAAATTCGTGCTAGAAGGCTCTCGACGACCGAAACCAGCAAAAATGTGACATGTGTGATTAATCTCTTGAACGCAGTCTTTCCTTTGAGTTTGAGTTAAATACATGGTACAGATAAACATTTAAAATCGGTCCGACAACGCAAATGGTTTTAAACTACACTATGACTATGTTTATTGCCATTCCGGCTTCCTGTTCGATTCCAATGTGATAGCGGTTCCATGCAGACCTGACATGGCTCTCAAAGGCTTCTTCTTGTTTCTGAGCGTGAAAACTCTCACGTAAAAGACATCGTTCCGGGATAGTTGAAAATTCAAAGAGACTTGTATCAAGTCTCGATGGAACATTACGCAAAAGGCTTATTGTAATGTACTTTGACACCTGTAAATCTCGATGGAAGTGATTTATCGCTCCATTGAGAACCCATTTTGGAACTTTTTAATGTGCTATATTGTTCTAAACAATAAATGTATTTTTATCGATTCAGTGATTTTTTTTGTATACATTTAGAAATTATACTCTGTATTTTTTTTTAAATATGTTTAGAAAGGTTCTTTTGGGCGATGTTAAGTATCAAATCAAATCATAATTTTAAGAGATAGACGATGCGTATAAAAACATAACAAACAACATATACAACAGATAATTTTTATTTTATACTTTTTTTTTCACGCATGCGCAATATAAAGTCGAAAAAGATCCAAATTGTAAAATACATTATTTTTCGTTTCTATGCAGAAATATATTTAACTAAATATATAAGTTTCATATTGAGTCTAAATTTAGTTGTTTTTAGGAGCAGCAGACATAAATGATATGTTTCAGCAGAATAGGCTTCTAAAGCCAACCTTTGCTTTCAAATAAAGGAGCTATTGGATGCTTGCTCTTGTTTGGTTCGATAACGTTGGACTGATTATCAAGTGTAGTTTGACTAGAATTCTGATTAGCCTGCGTAGTGGAAGCAACAGGATTCTGATTTGCCTGCGTGACTGTTGTAATAGGATTCTGATTGGTCTGCGAGACTGACCGAATAGGACTCTGATTAGATTGCATGGTAGAAGCAACAAGATTCTGATTAGTCTGAGAGACTGACCGAATAGGACTCTGGTTAGATTGCGTGGTAGAAGTAATAAGATTCTGATTAGTCTGCGGGACTGACCGAATAGGACTCTGATTAGATTGCATGGAAGAAGCAATAAGATTCGGATTAGTCTGCGCGACTGATGTCAGAGGATTCTGGCTAGATGGCATGGGAGATGCAATAGAACTTACGTTTTCTAATAGATTGTCTTTTCGTTCTGAGCTCTGAATTTTCTGTTTTACTCCACTGAATGTACTGATATTTCCTGGAGTAACATTCAACGCACGTTCAGTGTCCTTATTTTCATTAAAATCAATTAACTCTCCGATTTCCTTAGTACTTTGATTCATATTTACTGACATCATAGGATCAGCTTTCGATTGTTTTTTCTCTGGTGACGTTGATACTGTAATTGAAGTATCTTTACAGGTTGCTCGTTCGCTGCTTGTTTTCATTTTAATAGAAGGATTATCATTTGTTTTATTTTGCATAAGGTCTGATTTTTCACGTGGAATAATTGGTGGTGGTCGGAATTTTGGTGATTTGCTGACACTGGCACAAACTTGATCTTGAGAAACTTTTTCAACTGGCTGTGGAGCTTGTTTTTTCATGTCTTTTGCTTTTTGTGGAGAGTGTCTTAAAAGAGCTTCAGGAGAAAGTTTCACTCCTTGACTCAAAGAACTCTTAATTGGCTGAATTGGTTGGTTGATAGATGGTTTGCTTTCAGTCATATTTCTCGCTTTAAGTGTGGGACTGCCTGTTGAAATCGGCTGTGTTGTCACAGTCTTGGTGAATTGCATTGAAGAAGTCAAGTCTTCTTCCGGAATTTTAGGATACAAATTGCTTCCAGATGTTTGATAATTTTCTGTTTCAGGTTTATCTTTTGGAGAAAGCTTTGGATATAAGTTACTTTCAGAAGTTTGATAATTTTCTGATTCCACTCTATCTTTTGGTGGGTTCATTGTATCTTGTTTCTTTATTTCTTGGTCTTGTTCTTGTTCATTTTTCTTTTTTATGCTTCCAAATCGTCCACTGTCTGAATCTCTATTACCAATTATCTTAGATTTTTTTGCTGCTTGAATGAGATCTCTCCATCTCTGTGAGCTTCTATTTTCATTTCCACTAAGACCAACCAATCTTGCAAGCATGCTTTTATTACTCGCAACTTCAGGAGCAGCTTCATCAGTGCATACTTCCATCAATCCAATTTGAAAATCTTTTATTAAACGTCTCTTTTGTATCTGAAGTCGCTTTCCTGAAACTTAAATGTCATGAAACGTTAGTAAAAATAAATAAAATAAAAATTAGAAAACAATACTCTTCTCATTTTTTGAAATTATTACATTTATAATAAGATAAAGAATTAAAAAAGCTCTAAAAAACAAAAAGAACGATGAAAATTCGTTATAGACATTTAACATGTATTTTAAACAGATATAACTGTAAGTAAGGGAGAAGGTAGCAAGTGTAGTCATAGAGCTAATGAGGAATATTTCGGATATTAATCACTCAAAAGTTCCTTGCCGTGAAAGATTACACTATGTTACACTATGTTACAGAAGAGACACTATGTTACACTTTCATATGCAGTTACTAGACTACACACTTGTTCATTAGTATCGAATTAAGAAATGATATCGAGAAAGTAAATTTTTAACTTGCTCTTTAATAACCATTTTAGGTTATTTTTATTGAACAATTTTAATAACAGTAGATATTATGCTATGAATGAATATACTTATTACATATTGTAACAGCCCCTTTTTATTTATCTTTTGTAAATTACGGAATAAGAGCTTAAACTAACAATGATTTAGCAGGATTGGTGTAGAAAACTCAAGTGCGTTCCACACAAATAAAGCTACCTTGATTTCGTGCTGCAAATGGACAAAAAGAAAACCAATAACAATGAAACAACTATTTAGAAAGTGTATATACAAATACACATTTATAGGGAGTAACTTACTTCTTGTCTTCTCTGGACTGAAAAACACACACACACAAATATTTATAAAAAAGAAAGAAAAATGTCTAAGCTAAAATAATTCCGCTTGTGTTAATAGCCAATACACCTGCTATATTTGTCTGCCTCTGCCTTTCAGCTGACATGTAATATTGATTTGTGAAACTGAATTATAAAATATAAGCCAGATTTGACGTGGTTATCGAACTTAAGAAGGTTGTATTTGATTTCTCAAGAACTATTTGACCGATTTCCCTCAAATTTTATATTTTCCATGCAAAATTACATTTTTTTAAAATTATGTAAAAAATGACATTAGTTATAATAATTTCTTCCATCGACTATTATTAAATAAAATAATAAAAAATTATAAATAATTGCAAAAAGTTATTTTTTCCATGAATTTATCTTTCGATAAACGAATTTTATATTTGGGTGCAGTAATTTTTCATTTCCCTTAATCCCTTAACGATCGGTTAATTTTCAAGAAAACGGTCATAAAAGTGCCTATTTTTTTGTCTTTTGTATTTGTATTACGTATTTGAGAAGTGCTGCAACTAGTTTAAAATAAACTAACTATCTACAATTATCTTAAAAATATCCTGGTACTGCCATCTGGTGAGTAAATTGAGAAATAAAATGTTTTCCGGCAAAAGAAATGAATTAGTTTTATTCTCATTGGCGCGTTACTACTGAACACTCCAGCCCGTCAATATCACGGGAGCGAGAAATAGAGGGCGAAACCTCACCCCGTCATTTTCACGGGAGCGAGAAGGAAGGGGTTAAATAGATATAGCGAAATACGCTTAAAGTAAAATTAACATTAAGGGATCAAAACTTCGGACCGATCTCATCAGAAAACTATATGGACCATATTTACGAGATTGCGGCTACTCCTTATCTTTTGGAAGTGAGAAATCCTTATTGATCGGAAAAAAGGTATGTTTATTCATAGAAAGTACGTTTTTGTGTCTAAATTCGTAGCTTAAACTATCATCACCACTGATTAATTAGCATATTTGTGGTCACCCCCTTCGAACTATTAAGATTGAGTCCTAGAACGTGTATATCCGATTGTTAGATCAAAAGTTATTTAGGGTGGTCCATTTTTCATTTTGCGCTCTGTACGGTCGTAAGTAAACTTTTCTTAGTTTTTTGACGGTCGTACTTCATTTTAGGGATGTTTTAATATTTTCAAATGAAATAATGAGAAACAGAAACTCAATTAGAAATTCTGGCTTTTATGACATATCATATCAGTATGGAAAATGGCTGGCATGAATGGTTAAGAAAAAATAAAACTTAAATAATAACCTACCATCAAATTTTTCTTTTTCTATGTCCTTTGTGTTCATGCCATTACCTTTAAGTACCCGCATGAGATCATGACGGAATGAATATATATCTTGTCGTAACTCATTCACATTATCTTCTGTTACTGGATGACTCTCTGTCTCTTTCTGTTGAGCAGTTACATATCGCCAAACAAGGTTGCACATCACACTCTACAAATATACATTGCATCACTTTCTCAAAAATAAATAATATTAGTGATTGTAAAAGCTCACCGAGAAAGTATTTACAGTTTGGATATTTTATTTTATTACAGAGCGTTGAACAATTCAGATCAAATTATTATAATTTTTTTTTTTGTCGTATGCCTGTTTAGGCAGTGGGGGTGCGATTGTTCCCGTTTTTCATTGGCGCCATCTATGGTCAGGAATTCGACTTCTGTCGCGTCATTCACACAGCCACAACCCGTTTATAGGGCGGGTCACATTCACACACATTCACACACAAAGGAGAAAGGACATAGAACACATAGAGAGAGAAAGAAACATCCATGCCTTGCCCGGGTGTCGAACCCAGGACCTTTTTTGATGCAAGGACAGTTCCATGCCCCCTACACAGGCCGGTCGGCATTCATATCAATGCTCAACTTCATAGACTCGTTACTTTTGATTAATCTTAGAAGACAAAGGAGTTCATGGATCAAGTACGTCGGCAAACTTGCCTACGTGGAAGGCTTTTCGATGAGACTAACCCGTTATTGCGATACATGTCTAGGAAAACCACAAAACCTATGAATGGCCTATGAATGAATAGAAAACCTATGAATGGCCCTGAGACTCTGGCACACTTTTTGTCTAGTACTGGGTAACAGTTTCAATTAGAACTGTGGTTGGTGAAAACCGAGAACAGTATACGAATCAACCAGCCATCGCCCGGATTAGAACTTGAATCGCCTGATTGGGAGAAGAGTGCATTATCCCTTGTGCAACCTTAGCTCAAATAGGTATTAAAAATTGGCAAATTGATTAAATTTATGTTAGTTTTAACCACTTTTTAATTTATTCATCATGGGAATGTCCTTGGCACTAATTGCAACATATCTGCTTTGCAGAATTCAGCCATTTGTGATCTAAATTTATTTATATCAATCTTACCACCACTTACTAAATTTTGATTGTTAAGAAATTACGTGAGAGGAGAAAAAATTAGAAGTCGGACGGAGCTGTGCTTTTTACAAATAAAAGAGACAGCTCAAAGTAACATGATTTTCCCATTCTCCACTCGTTTACCCTCTTTGTTACTATGGTTTCGACAAATCATAATTCCTCCCCATGTTAGTCTATTCCAACTTCTAATTGAGATATACTGCAGTGGAGAAAAGAAAGCAAGGTTTCCTGAATCCATGGTAATAGAGAGGGGAAAAGTACGTATAGGACTCCTATCTATTCACAAAGAGTGTATGTCCGGACTATGAGAAGGATGAGAGAATTGTTTATAGCCAAATGTATTTTACAAGATCGAACACTTCTCGCACTCAAAAACTTCACAGGAACTGCTATATATCTGCTGGCAGGTCACTCTATTGTTTTAAATATGATTATCCGCAAACAATGTCATCAAACGAGAACGTAATTGAACAAAATGTATCTGTTAATTCATTCTAGAGTCAAAGGAAATAACTGCACAGGTGTGCCCTTCGTTTAGTCATATAAGCGCAAATGGTACTTACTTTCTAGTTTAGTTTCGCAATATTATCTTTAATTTTTCAAATATAATTACAAATAAATATTCTATATTCTGTCGAAAGTAATTATAGCTATTTTAAGATTAGAATTAAGTAAGCTCAAATTTTGATTTGCTTCTTTATAACTCTAAAAAGCGTTAAGCCTTTTTATTGACTATTGTCAAAAAGTCATGGAATTTTAATTTTATTCATGATTTTTAATGATCAGTTTAACATAAAATTTTTCTCATTTCGTATATATTACTTGTAAATTTACCTGATAAATGGTATCTCTTTCTTTCATCTTCGTTTCTTTTTTCTAAAAGGAAAACAAGAGATTAAAATTATTATTCTCTCGTGAGGTTTTTTTAAAAAAATTAAAATTCAATGATTATGTATGTAAATAAAGAAAGTAACTTTTACAACATCCATAGTGGTGTATAGTCAAAATATACAGGTCGTTACGCAATCTCTGTTCTTAATAAATACTTTGAGAATCCCTGACAAAAATTGATACAAAAATTGTGCACATTAAAGGTAGAAAACTAATATTTATAGAATATTATAGAATATTGGTAAAAACTGACGAATTATTATTGAGATAAATCGCAATTATTATGATTTATCTCGATAACCAAACTGATGCATTTATTTTACCTTCACTGTGATTGATTTAATTATTCATCAGGTACAGATAAGTTTTATATAAATTAAATCTTGCATTTTTTCACATTAAATCTAAAAATATATATTTAAAGTGAAGATATGTTTTACAAATTTGGTGGTGAGAGGCTGATTCCAAATTGAAAATCAGGAGATTACTTAACATTAACAAAAACAGAATTTTTGGGAAAATTAATAAGATATTGCATCAGAAAAAATTATACATTTGACATTTTTTTATAAATAGGATTAAAGAAGATAAAATATTTTCAATTATATATACAATTGAAAAAGTTTGAATTCCTTGTTCCGAGGTAAAATATAAATTTGTTTTTGAATTTTAAAACATGAAATTATTTTCAAGAGGTTAAATTTCTACAGAGAAAATGCAACTTTTTTAAATTTTTACATAATATTGCCGTGTGCACGCCTGGAAAACTCGGCACTCGTCGAAATTCGTACAATCAAAATAAATGCTACGCTTTTTACAGAGGACTTTTTATACATTCACACGATTTGAAATAATGCTAAGCATCATGTACTGGGTGCTCCACATTAACCATTCCTAATAATATATATTTCTAGTATCCATGTCAAAATTTAAGATAAAAATTATACACATTAGTTGTCACAAATTAATCTTTACGCGAGGAAGAAATTGTATTACTTTCTAAGTTTGCCAAATCACAAGTTGAAAGGCGTGATGAAAAACATCAGAACTTTTATTGTCTTAAGAAATTAAAAAGAAAATTGCCATTTAACTTATCTTAGCATACTCCATCTATTCAAAAGGCATGTATCTTTTCAGACTCTCCTTTCTTACTTGTGATTAGATTTCAGTTATGTCTTAACCTCGTTTGAATTTTAATTAGCGGCCCTTTATGAGTGTAATTTTTGACTTAATTTTAAACATAGATTTTAACAATATATATGAAGGGAAGTAATTACGAATCAATTTTTAAATAACTGTTGAAGTTGGCATTTCTTATAATTTTTATTACGTTTGTAACTTAGATTCGTTATTTAACTCAGAAGTTAAAGACATTTTATAAAAATCTGTGTTTAACACAAAATGAAATACTTCAGTTAAGAAGTTGTCAGAAGTTTTCATTTTTTTTCTGTGTCTTTAAAACTTTTTACCCTTGAAAACTCTTATAGAAATTTTTATAACTCCCCCCCCCAAATTTAACTCTTATTTCAAATTTTAAAATTTTCCAATTTTTCTTACTAAAATTTTAAAATAAGTGGATTTTAGTGCCTCTTCGTACGTTAGTAATACAGCACTACTTTAGCAGCGTTGTTTAATTCATACGCTGTTATTCAACTTATTCATAAAAAGTGTTTTTTACAAGTGCACAATCTAACTATATAAAATAATAATAATTATAATTTATAGTGGATTTCTTTCTTATGGACAATCTACACTAGGCTCAATTAATTTCGTTAATTTATATATAATAAATTTTTCAATTCTCACCTTAAATGACATGTCTCTGAACGAAGTCTTCTTTCCAAATAAGCGTAAAAAGTGTTTGAAAGTGGGAAATATATTAAAGGGTGGGGGTACTGTACTTCCTTCTTCAAAATAGTTCATGAAAAGAGTAGTTCGGGCGAATTTCCATTCTACATCAGCTCTTTCCTAAGAAAATATACATTAATGCTCTCAAATGTGGAAAGTATAAATAAATTTGATAAAAATATTCGTAGTCATTAAATATTTATATACAATTTTTAATTAATATGAACAACTCAATTCAAAATGCGTAATAAATTTTTATTTAACATTGACTGTTCCACACAAAATATATGAATAGTTCTATTTGCGAATAATGTTTCAGTTAAAATTATACGTTTGAAATTCGAACAAAAGTATCCGAAGAAATTGATTATTTACATAAAAAATATAGTTAAATATTGCTTAAAAAAAGAAGTTTTACTAAATTACGAAAATATGAAATAATTTAATACAATTTGCGCAATGAATATCCGTATAATATCTATTCTTTTTCAGAAAACATATTTCTTATTTTGTAAGTAATTTTTTGGCAATATTTACAAATACAGACGACAATTTCACATCAACATTTTATCTGTACATTTTCCTATCATGTACACTGAGTAAAAATATGTGCATAATGCGCAAAAAAAGCACCTGCTATGACATTTGATTTACTGATAAGGTTGTAACGTACAAGGTCTCAATCTTAGTAGTTCGTGGGTACATCCTTAAATATGCTAATTAACTTAACAGACGATATTTTAAGTTATGAAATCAGACAGAAAAACTGAAAATGGTTTTTCCCTGCGTAAACATACCTTTTTGGACTGAGCCTCAAAATTAAGGAAGTGGAAGCCTCAATCTGGAAAATATAGTCTCAATAGATTTGGTAAAAGTTTGGAAGTTTGGACCTCTTCATACTAATTTCTCTCTTTGCTTATTTTGCCCTCTCAGAGAAGTCGTATTTTTAAATTTTTGTGTTTTAAGAACTGATCGACCCTTAAAATTTTGAAATTTGTCACTGAAACTACGTATACTCTTTTTAATTCTTTCTTTACTACATTTACATTTATTTAAATATTTGTATACCTTTTCAGCTCATTAATAAAAAAATAGCAAGCAAATGTATGAAATTTTTTTTGCCTGGATTTTCTTAAGATAGGCACGTTTCATAATCGCGTGCAAACATATTTTGCTTCACTTTATTAGTTTCGGAGATACGTCGACAGCGTAAAAAGTGAAATTTACGTAGAGGAGTTCAAACGTTTGACCCTGACTGTGATCTAACTATTGGGACAATATTTTCAAGATTGCGGCTAACCTTCCCCTGATATTGTATGGGACATGAATCCGTTGAAAAAAAATTAAATTAATTTAGGTCTTTATAGCGTAAAAAGTTGTTTTCAAACAAACCAGATTGTGAGTTACTGACGGAAAAAACTTTTGTCTCAAGCTGATAGTCTTAAGAAGAATTTTAATCATGAAGCTATACTGAAGTCATTTTTCATCAATTCATTTTCGGCGAAAATGTTGATCATGCTTATCCACTTTTTAATATTTGAAATTGCTATAAAAATGTAATCGGGAAAAAAATTGACATATTTCATTTTTTTCCAGGTTTCAAAATGTAGATATGTTTCGTATATGAGGAGAAAATATAAAACAGCTATAAGAGTTATTTTAGTGCAATATTTATCAAAATTTTTTAGAATTTTTGGAAGAGCTTATAAAAGTGAAAGGTTTTCTGTTTAAAAACGTGTTGTGGTGAGCTATATGAATAAAAAAAATTTTTTTCAACCAGTTCATTAAATGAGGCGATATTAATTGGGAAAATTGAATATTCCTATTGTTTCCTGATATTTTTCTATCACAAAAACGCTCTTTAGTTATCGTTTTTCATAAAAATCTTCGAATATTTTATCAAAAAGATTAGATGCAAAAAATTAAAATAAACCAAAATTGCATTGCTAAAATCTTGGAGCGAGTTGAATTATGTATTATATCGTTTAAATATGCCGCAACCTTAAGCGAACGCTATACTGGGGAAAAAAATCTTTCATGACGAATTTTCTTTCACCTACATAAATAATTTAACATTTAAAGTACAGAAAAAGTGCAGGTAAATCTGGAATAAACCATTAAGTTTCAAACATCGAAAAAAAAAACTTTCAATACTGCAAAACGCAAACAAATTATGGCAGGAATATTCAGGATTGCGCAACTGTTAAGTAATCTTGGAATAATTTGTTCGTATTTTGATATTTGGAATTTTTTTTTCAGCTTTCGAAACTTTATGTTTTACTCTAGGTTTATCTGAACTCAAGTTTCTTTAAATTTTAAAATAGTAATGTAAGTGAAGCAGAATTCCCCATGAAAAGTTTCTTCCACGGTATAGCGTTCTCTTAATTTAGCACTAAATGGAACTAGATTATCGCATCTCTTAAACTTGGTTGCACCATATTATGGTTCAACTTGTACGGAAACGGAGATAAATTTCACACCTCATTATAATAGCAGCAAATTTGCACTGTATTACGGTTCTAACTCTTCAACGTTTAACAGGATCTTCTGAAAGTGAGTTTGCCTGTAATACCATTTTAAGCATTTTTCTGTAAAAGTAACAGTTTAGAGGGGGAAAGATCATGAAAAAAGGGTTGTGTAAAAAAGTAATTTTCGTGGTTTATTATTTGAAGTTTTTAATTAAACTAGCATTTTTAAACTAGATTTGTCATATTCATGTATAAAATTTCTTAATACATCATGAATAGTAAACAATTAGAATGTTTAAAAGAAAATTTTTAAGTAACTTTGTTAAAAAAAAAAAGAACCTACTGAGATAATATTGTAAGAATTGCTCATCATAGCTATGAGGAGGTTCAGCAATACGACCACATTGATTACAGAATAGGATCCAAACATTAAAAGACCCCAGAATCGAGTATAACTTTTTATTCCCGTTAATTCAAAGTTACTGATATCAACAAGTCCAAAGCTTGCCCAGAAGAGAGTTTGAGATGATTCAAAAAGGCTGTAAAAGATTATATTCATGAGTTCCATAAAGACAATGAATTAAAATATGTTGTGCCAAATCGATAGAAACTTTCACTAACTTGGAAAATCTTCGCCAAGCTAAACATGAATCCCTTTGCTGAGTCCAATTTTCGGTTCCACCAGGTCCACTGAAACATTGCTTCTTTTCCATATCAGCGTAGTACCAAAGTAGTTGGTTCAAACCGCAAGCAAATGCAAATAATACTAGAGCATAGATGAAGAAGAATTTAATAATATCTATGACCATTCTACCCAAGGAAATTTGTAAGGGTCCTAGATAAGGATTGATCGAAAATATATGAACTAATTTAAGAGCCCTGAAAAAGAATTAAAGCACATAAGTATATCATTACAAAAGATTACTCATAAAACTATCAAACTCAAAAAAATTGTTTATTTTCACTAAACTTATTATTCGTTGTTTAAAGAAATTTTGACTCTATTTTCATAGATGTGATAAGGAATTCCACAGACGAAGTTAGGTAAGGAATTCAAAGTTGACAGATAAATTGAGTTGAAGTTCAATAATGAATTTTGTCATATTGAATATCTAATTCGCTTAAAATGTATCATTATTGAAAGTAGATTCTTTGCATATTTTTATTTTAGAGTGCCTCGATTACTAATAAGGGAAGTTTGAGTAAAGCATAAAAAACTGTTTGATTCCCTGAATAAAATAAGATCAATTAATTACGCAGGTAATTAGATGCGCCCTAAAGTTTTCTATGACCGGCAAATTGTTTTGGTTTTTTAATACCATTTTTCTAGCATTGATTCATTAGATTTTGAATACTTTTTTTTATTTCTTCCCTTCGTTAATTTGATACCTTTCATGAGAATTTTTTTTAAATTTCATTTTTTACGAAAATTGCATCTATATATACCATTATTTAGTGTGATTGCTGAATATCTGATTTAAAGTGTTAAGTGTCATTGCACGCCAAAGTTAAATCAGCTTGAAATTTTACGCCAAAGCGTCAAATTTTTGTATCAGACCATAGCTTTCATCTTTGGAAAATGAATGAGAATATCGCCAGTTCAATTAAAAAACGCTCACGTGACTGGCACACTCAATACGCTCTTTCCACCGGCAAAATTTTATCGTCTTCTGCAAGAATTGAACTGTAAGTAAAAGGATTTAAAACGTAGAGAAAACTTACGCAAAAACATTTCCAGCTGCGAATAAGCCATCAGCTATTAGCATCGGATCATATGCATTCCAAGCTTCTCTAGGAATAAACACTGCCATAGGATTGTCAGAAATTTCTGCTTGAGCCTTTGAAATTGTATTTTATTTGAAAGAGGTTTAAACAGTAGTCATACTTAAACTAGAGGTTTTTAGAGGCCGGCAGCAAAACAATTGTAGAAATAATCATAAGAATTTTGTTTTTGAAAGGAAAAAAAAGTTCAATTTTTTACCACCAGGGTTTGAAATATTTTTTTAAGGTCATTTTTGAGGTCAGTTTGAGGTGAGCGGTTAGTTTTCTGCAAGTAGCTTGATACTCGTTTCTATGTGATAATCTGCACACAACACGTTGCTTCTGTTAAGAGAAGGCATGGTTGCTAATGTCTTTTGCAATTATGATTGTAAATGAGATATCCCAATATTAAAATGCATGCAAAATGTTAATTTTTTGCACTTAATGTGCTAATTTTTGCCTGGAAAAAATGGCCTTTCAACGCTATTTTTCTCCTTGGTGACAAAAAAACGAACTATTTTTTCCTTTTACATTTTTTTTACCATCTTAATACAGAGTAGCCAAAATAAAAGCGACCCGTAAAACACTTATGATATCAATGATAAATTATAAACAACTTATAGATGTCAGTGACATTTTCAGGCTTGCTTTTATTTTCGCCATCCTGCAGTACTTACAGCAAATTTAATTAAGTTTAGTTTAGCAATTTTCTTGTTATCAGGCTTTAACCTTTTATGACCGAGCTTTAAATAATGGCAGTAAAATTGATTTTTACTTAGAAATAGGTTGCTTAGTGGACAAAAAACTCAAATTGCGATAAAATATTTCTTTAAAACTAAACTAATTAAACTTAACTAACTTGGTTATTTTTAATTATTACATAAGAATAATAAATATCAAATTTTAGAATTTCCTGCATAATATAGAGTACTTTTAGGATTTATTTCTTCCCATTTTATTCATGAAATAAAATCTCCTAGACTCAAATAATAAAATATTTATATGCCATAAAAATGTCAAAAAAGGTACTTGAATCGAACTTCTTACCTTCCTAATAATTTTTCATTGTAATTAAAAACTCTGACCAACGAGGATAAATCCAATTATATTTTTACATAGAAAATCGCTTTGTAAAAGTATATAAGCTTAAAATCTTATTTTTTAAGGGACAAAATTGTATCAAATGTTGCCCAATATATTGAACACTGGGTTTCAAAAAGGTTAAACACCTCTATTTTAATAATGGTCACCAAATATTCAAATATTGATTTAATGTAAGCATTATATTAGTTGTAGAATTGGCTTTTCTTACTTGAAAGTAAGCTAAAATACGCATTCCAGCAGTTCCAACATATAAGCTATTTCTTGTAAAGTCAATAATATTCCATAAATTATGAAAATATAGAACTATTCCTTTTGTCCAAAGCTCTCTGGTCTCTTGCCATATATGTGCTGAAATAACATTATAAAAAAATTTAGTAGATCATTATATAAAGGAACAGAACAATATTTTTAATTATAACTGTATTCTTATAACAATATTTTTAATTATAAATATTTAATAAAATATATATAAAAATATTATAGAGTTACAGTTCAAGAACCATAATACTTGTTTGATACAATCGAAAATATTATGTTTTAGCAAACTGTTTCATTTGTTTTTATTATTTGAAGAATATTAATCATTGTAATCCAAAAAGAATTTTATAATGAATTATTTTTAATAAAATTCTTTATAATGCCTTATAAATTATACTTGATTTAAAAGATATGATAAAAAATACTTATTTATAAAATTTTTTTACAAAAATACTTTTAAAGAAAAATAAATATTACAAAATACTTTTCATTAAATAATTTTCAAAAATAAGGAAATTTAATTACATTAAACACTTATAAATTGTTAAAAACGTGATAAATGAATAATTTGCGAGAAAGAATCCTTTTACATATTATTATTCTCATTAAGATTAAAATATGTGTTTTTCTACGGAATTTTGCAATTTTTCAAGGTAGAAAATATCGGTGTAGCAATTCTCAGTAATTATAAGGTTTTTGTCATCATTTAAACATTGAACAATAATGCCGCCAATTAGGAATTTAAACAAAGGATTGAATAGAAGTAGTAACAAAAGTTGCGTGATACGATATACTTCGCCAATTCTAAAAGCTCAATACATACTTAAGATAGGAAAATCAAATAGTGTCATAAACTAAGTCTGTGTAAGAAAACAAAGGAAACAAAATATATTGAAAGAAGTCTTCAGCACGCTTCGAGATCGTAGATTCCTATTGATTTTGGATTAAATAAAGCAAAATCCTCTAATCAAATTAATTAATAAAGCAATATCCTTTAATTACTCTAATTCACTCATAAAAATAATTGGTATTTATATTTTTAGGATCTGTATAAAGAATAAATATATAAAAGAATAGGAATAATTTTTTTAAAAGACAAGAAAGATAAAAAGTGATACCGTAAACCGGGGTGAGTCTACCCNTATTAAAGGTATATTATTTATTAAAAACCTTTTTTCTTTAATATTTACAAAAGTTTGACCACTTGAAAGTTGACAAACTGAAAAAATGGGTAGACTCGCCCCGGTTTACGGTATCGAATTATTGAGAATAATACTCACTTTTTGCAATCGGTTGATTAATTTCTATTCGGGAAAATACTTAAGAAGCGTGCGTCACAAATAGTTTTAATTCTTTGGCTTGCTTTAATTATAATATTAAATTATCTTATATATTTAAATTATGTAATTATCTTGCATATTATATTTTATTTACTTTTAAATATAACTAAACATATGCTGAATAATTAAGAAAATAAAGGTATGATTTCAAAGCTGCAATTCATAAATTCACAGAACACTACGACGATGCTCCTATTGATAAAATAAAATGTTCCTATTAATAATTTTGAATAAATTTTTTAAAAATATATATCAAGTGTGGTATTTATAGATCACTGAAACTGGAAAAAAAGTGAATAGATTTGAGTTCTTACCTATGATATAAAGCAGTATAGTAGTTTCAAGAATTGTGGGGGGTTGACCTCTTTGCTTTCTTAGAGCTTCATGCGAACTTATTTGCATTTCTTCATTTCCAAACCATTCTGCCACAATTGTTTCCACTCTTTGTGATGCCAGTATCAGTAAAACTTTGAAAAGAATAAAATAATGTAAAATAAAGAGCTATAAGGATATTTTTACAATATTTTTCAAATAACAAATATAAACTAAGAAATTTAAGTAAATTGCTTGCAAAATCAAACATTTTTGTGAAAATTTAGCTTTATTTAAAATGAGTTCCTTAATTAAATAAAAAATATACTGAAGGAAAGTGATGACGTGAAAATAACTATGGCATCTATAATTCAGGTTTGAATGATGACAGAGAAATTTTACAAATTTGTAGATAGAATAAATAAAATTTAATCACATCATGAAAAATAAAAATATTTAAGAAATTTATTTTGTTCAGAAGTTATGTCCAAAGTTCTGATACAGCGAGAAAAATTTGTGACTTAAGTGATCATTGGGATTTATGGAAAAAAATAAGCATAAATTTTTGACTATTTTATTTATTTTTTCATGTAATCAGATAGTTAGTTTAATAGTTAGTTTCAAGTTGTAAGTTTAATACATATCAATATTAAAACTTTCGAATTATTATTAAAAACTTACGCTCTAAAATAATAAGCATATGTCGTTATTATTCAAACAGAAGACTTTAGTTTTCTTGCAACAATATAACAGTCTTTAAATTGTGAATACTAATTTTATTCTAAATTAAACTCTTATGTTTATATTTATTGTAGTTTGAACTATATTTAACTTTCAAATAATAAGTAATTCAGAATATTTTAATTATTTTTATTACAATTTAAATATTTATTTAAAAAGATTATATGATAATGTAGAATGAGAGAACATTTATTTATTGATCTTCTAAGATTTAAAGTAGGTATAATATAATAGTTTCTTCCAATTATTCTAAGTATTTGAGTTATTATTCCGAGGCTTAATTCAAAAACAACTAGGTGCTTTCCAATCATTCTAAGCATTTTGTTTATTAATTATTTTGGTGCTTAATGCAAAAACAACAAGGTTTTTTCTAATCATTTCAAACATTTTGCTTATTAATTATTCTATAGCTTGATGCAATAACAACACTACGTCTTAGGTGCATGGTTTACACTGTATACTCGAGTGGTTTTTTCCCTTTTCTTTTGAGAGAAGGGTCATTGGATCGGTTCGTGAAGGTCTGCAGTTGAAAAAAAAAGCATTAGAAAAAGATTACACTAGGCGTTGATCCCACTTTCCCAGAATTGTTAAAATTTGCGTATTCACACCATGGCTTTAGAAAGACAGAAGATTAAAAAGTTATAAAGAAATAAGCAAACATCAATGTTTGATGAAAAGTTAAGTAACTGCTTAAAATTGTGCTTATTTTAATCAGCGAAAATAATCCAAGTCTTACTTTAAATGACTCGATGAAAAATACTGAGTGCGATAATTTTTCAAAATATTTTAATATTTTTTTCTCAATATAAAGTTTTGTAATAGGTAATTCTTGCAATTAAGCTACAGAACCATCAAAAGCAATTTAATTATTAGCGATTACGGAATTACTGCAATAAAAGTTTAATAAAAGTGTAAGAACTTACATAGAAAAAATAAATAGGAGAAAGAATGGATGATAAACTTAAAAAAGGGTTTTCGAACCAGTTGACTCTTCTCTGTATTAGGACACACCATATACATAACAGAATAAAATGGAAACAGAGCTCCGATTTTGATGATATCCCAGAGCTGATAAAGAGGATTTTGTCTTCGAAAGCCAGGTAATCCATCGTACCATAATGAACTTAACAGTTGTTGCACATTTGGGTGAGCAATAAACTGAAAAAAAAAATTAAACAAAGTTATTTGATAGTTATGCATTGTAAAATATATAAAGTGTTTAAAAAAAAGCAGTGAGTTCACATGAAATACATATATGGAAGAGAATAGCACATATGCATTGAAAACATTTTAAATCTTGGCTTGGTATAAATATGCTTGGGTCTAAATGATATGGCTTCTAATATTCTTATTTAAGCCTTGGGTGCTTGGTGGAAGGTTTGGACAAAGCCACGAACTGGTCAAAACTGCGAAAGTCGAAATCATGATATAAATAAGGATTGGGGTTTGCATGAATTTAATAAGAAAGTGGTAAAGTAAGGAACATCTGGAAAGGAATACTAGGAAAAGGAATATCCTTTTGTCGCGAAAGAAACATGATACATCCAGGGCTCTTACCTGGAGGTATATCTATTGTGAAGCAGATGTTTTCACTTTTTATTACTTCACTAACTGATATGCCATATTATTTTTTGGTGCTTAAATAATATGGAAACTAGAACTTCTAGTTACGTAACAATACAGGTTAAGTAGCTAGAGAGGGATGAGCAATTATTGATTGAGATCTATTCACACTTATGTACACTGATGTTTTTGCCTGAACATTTTTCCCAGACACCGTTAGGTGCAACCTTTGACAGAAAAAGAAGTTCAAAGTTATTAAATGGCATGATTCGGACATAAATTATGGTTCAATGACGTATGAAATATTGAACACTAAATAAAATATTGCAGTCGAAGTAGCGTTCTTCAATGATGTCTCCATCGAAAGGTTGCACCTTAACTAGTTTTGTTGTATCATATTTGATTGTGAATTTAAAATTCTATGATCAAGTAAAACAGAACCAAACTTGGTTAGTAAAAAAAAGAAGTATTTTATTTGGAGTGTAACTTCTCTGCTCTTTTTGGGACCCTTTCTCAGTTAATATTGTTTTTGAAAAGTAAAATCTGAAGAAAAAATATTTTCTTTCTAAATTAACTTTCGGTTTGAAGGGAATTTTATTGCTTTATCTTTGAACTCTAACAAAACCATTAGCAAAATTTTTTTTTGAAATTTTTCATTTAACAGACTTGCAGGTTTTGTATATCAGGAAAGTATATTTTTGTTTCGCACATTTACATTTTATGGCTTTGTAAACTTTAAAAATGTATGGCTTTATAAGTAGAAGGCTTTGTTTATTTAGGGAATATTAGTTAAAAAAATCGCTCATACAGAAATGGAAATTCATTTATTTATGGTTAAATGGAATACGATGGAAATTAAGAAATTTCAATAAATATTTTTTTCATGTAATGTTTAACCAAATTAAGTGTAAAAATTCCTTGCGATAAAATGTTAACGTAATCTATCTCCTGATCTAAAGGATTTAATTAAAGGATTTTATTCAAAAATTGTTTTTAACTTATACCATAAAAGCGGATTAAATTTAATTCTAATAAGCTAAAATATTTCGTTGACTTAATATAAAAATAGGGGAAAATTTGATTTCAAATAAGAGTATTTAATTTAGAAGCTATTTAGAATTAGTAAAAGTACTTATTTTTTTTAAAATATTGTTTACATTGCTTGTAAATATGTAAAAGGCTCTTCTGTGTATGATTAAGGATAATATTAAATAAGAGAATGATCCAACTTAGATTTCAGACATAATTGTATAAAATGTGACAAAAGAGAAAATATATAAATGAGTAAAAAATATAAATAAAGAATATGAAAATTGAAAATAACATAGGTTTTCTAAGTACATTTTAGTTACTTTCTCAATAAGATACACATTTTTAAAAAAAAATTGTATACCTTCTTCTGTTTATATTTAATTGCCATTTCTAATCTAGCTAGGTGCATGTGCTCTCCATGTTGATAAAGTGGTCGAGCTGGATCATAATTCAAAACCATTTCCAATTCTCGAGAGCTTCGAGCATGATCTAATAAAGCTGTGGCAAAATCCTGACAGCGAGAACGAAGTTTCTACATGGTCCCAAAATAAATAATCATAAAAAATCAGCAGTTTTTACAGAAAGGAAAAAACAAGATACAATGATGTAATAAAGGTTTTTTTATTATGTCAAGTTTAAATTGTGCAACAAAAAATTGTACTTGCATTTGTTTTGATTATTTCATTATATCATGTTTTATATTAATTAACAAGATTATTTTTTTGATGAAGATGAACGAAAATGCTTGAAGATGAATTTGAAAATAATAAAGTAAAGTTTTAATAACCAAAGGTAAACTTGAAAATATTCAGTCGAATAAACTACCAAAAGAACACGTTCATTTCTTTGACAAAAGCAATTTTCTAAGCGATTTTTGGAATTCTTTTTAATAAAAATTCAAAATGATAAGGGGTTTTCTACAAATATTATCTTGTATTATAAAGCAAAATAAAATAACAACTGATAATACCATGCAATAAACTTTCATACCCCGAAATATGATTGTATAAGGAGAGAAAAAGGAAAAGATACTTTAATGGGGGATGATTCCTAATAATGCCGGTGCATTTTTAATAAATATTGTTTAATAGTACAGAATGAAATTTGTGGCAAACCCCTTATTATTTTGAGCTTTCTTTTAAAAAGTATGAAATCTACTAAGAAAATTGCTTGAAACCTTGTAAATTTTTAAGATATTTAATTTGGAACTTTTTTTTTTAATATTTGCCGAATACGATTCACTATAAAATTAAGAAAAAATAATTAAATTTAAATTTTACCCTTGCATGCTCTGTATAAAAAACTACTTTAACTACTCATATCTTTCACAGTTTTAAACAGATTTTTCTCAAATTTTAAAGCAAAATTTTCTAATTCACTTTAAACACTCCAAAAATTTTGCGTAATTTTATCAAATATTTTTGAACTTATAGCAAAAAATCCCAAGAATTTTTTTTAATAAGAATGTCCGTATCTCCATAAATATTTAAGGCTAAGTTTACGAAATTTTGTCAATTTTTTTGCGTGCATATAATAGCTAAAATAAGCGTTACAAAATATAAATTTATTGCTACAATTTCTGGCATAGGGTGACTAAAATCATAATTTTCCGTTTGTAATTTTTAGTTGGTCTCTCAAATCTCTAAAAGCTTTAAACTTTATTGAGAAGTATGAGAAATCGCATAAACTAAACATTTTTAAATTTATAAGATAATTCTCTAAGTATTTTGTGAGAAAGAAAAAAAAAGTGTTAATATAGAAATGTTTCCATTATTTTGTCCAATCCCAGTAAGTTTATTATAAGATTCAGGTAAATTTAATAATTTAGCTTATTTGACTCGAATTTTTTTTTTGTTGAGCATTTATTAAGTTCTTAAAAGTAAACATTTCGTCCTAGCTTTTTTTTAACGAAATTTGACACGTAAGGTGTCTCATTGCATATTTATAATTGGCACTAAAGAATTAGGGCCAGCAGCAATAAAAAAATTGACTAAATTTATGAAAACATAAAATTAATAACTGTTAATATTTATTCATAACTCTTAGGTTATGTTTCGTTCATATTCTATTGCCATTTAATTTATCGCTTTTAAAATCTTTTCATACAGATAGTACTTGTAGTGAAAATTAAAGCTTTACTTCGATTTAAAAAAAAACTCAAACTGTGATTTATTTTATAGTTTCAATTTTTACTTTCCTTAACAAAAAAACATTTGACAAACAAATTTAAATAATCTACTCCAATAAGCTCTTTCAGTAGAGTTTTCGTAAACAGTAGAAGTGACATTAGTAGCAACTTCAGAATTAGTAGTAGCAATTATAGTAACGTCATTAATAATAATAATGTAACAATATTTAAACTACTCACAACATAATCTTCTTTGAATTCATTCTCTGCCATGCTTAGTCTACGAAGTTCCCATGATAATTCAAATGCTGTCAATATAGGATCAATAGAGGATAAACAAATTAAAGATGGGGAAGAGAGTGCTCGATAAGCATTGATTCTGGATCTTGAGTGACATAAGCAATCATCTTCCATGGCTTGTACACAATCACGACATCGACATCGAACATCGTGTGGCATAGGCAAGGTAGCACCACGATCCAATAAAATTTTTAAAATTTCGTAATTATCTTTATGGGCTGCTAATATCAATGGTGTGATTTCTGCTGTAAAAGTAGAGATATCACGATCCACTTTCTCCCAACTCTGAAAGCACAAACAGAATTTTTAGAAATAAGTATGAAGAAAAGAAGAAAATTTTTTGTCTTGTCTTTACAAGATGAATTTTACAACTCAATAAGAGCTATACTTTAGAGTTTTATACTAGTATGAAACTGTAAAATGCATCGAGATTTATAATTCTAAAAAAAAAGAAAAAAAAAAGAAACACGCGTCCAGTTAATCAATAGAGCAGTATCGGATAAGACAGAAGAGAAAAATGAATCTTTGAGTTTCGTGATTTTTAGGGAATATGATTGAGTAAATTTTTAACTCTCTCCTCTACACACATATTCAAGGAAAAAACAAATAATTTTTGGTCTCATAGTGAATTGATCGTAAGATACGGTTCCCAGTAGATAAGATACGGTTCCCAGTACGGTTCACAGCAGTCATGTATCACTGGCAGTTGTCACAAAGTAGGTGGGTGACCATTGACCACTTTGATCTGCCTACAAAGGGACAGAGGGTGTGCGTTATCGATCCCCGTTAGATCTTAAGTTCTAGTGTAAAATGCTTGATTCAAGATACCAAAGCAGAGTTGCCATTCTTCAGCAGAGGATTAAAATTGTGATGGCATGTCTTCGGATCATCTTCAAAGGTGATTCACAGATCGTCGCCTATAGCTACAGCTCTAGAGTGACGTAAATAAAGTACTAAATTTTTTTATTGATAATAAAAATGATCAGAAACATTTTTTTCAATAAAGGAAAAAAATGCTTCTATCTGCTAGTTTTATTGGAACTGCATCCAAAGAATAAAAGTGTCACTAAACTTTTGAAAAAAGTGCAAAATTTAAAAAAGTGCATCTCTGAAATTTCTCTTAACTAGATGTCGAATTGATTGCATATGCGGTACTAACGAATCGTGTTACTAATATTTTGTTCTTAATTCCCCTAAATAGGTTAGAAAGAAAATTTAATTTTAAGTCTGTTTATTAATATCATACGGGTATAAAGTATTTTAACGTTACTTTCCATTTAAATTATTTGCAAAGCATAAGTACTAGACTTAATATTTAAATTCATCACCTGAATGTGTTAATCTTGAATTTTCGAATAGACCCAAGAAAAATTTATGCTAACATTCTTGGCTTATAGATTGTATAAGAAAAAAGGGATAGGAGCCTCTAATGCTAATCCAATTTTTCTTAGCTTAGAAAATTTTGTAATAATCTATAATAAAGCAAATTTTTTAAATATCTATACTAAAGTAAATTTTTTAAATATCTATATTAAAGTGAATTTTTTAAATATCTATTCTAAAGTGAATTTCTTAAACATCTATAATAAAGTGAATTTTTTAAATATCTGCACTAAAGTGAATTTTTTAAATATCTATTCTAAAGTGAATTTTTTAAATATCTATACTAAAGAGAATTTTTTAAATATCTATACTAAAGTAAATTCTATTATAATAAACAAAGTAAATTCTATAATAATCTATAATGATGATAATACTATTATTCATATTGAAAAAAATTCTGTAATAAAGTAAATTCTGAAATAAAGTAAATTCCATGCATACATTGTAGAGTTATGTAACTTACATGTGGTTCATTTTCCTTGTGGACTATTTCTTCATGTTCCAGAAGAAGATCAACAGCTTCGACGTATTCAGCATTTATGGCATGTAATAATGCATCTCTACTTTCAACTCCGTGCTCCAGCAATAATTCAAGTATATCTAAATTTTCATTATCAATTGCCATTAAAGTAGCAGAGCGACCCACGGGATCCTTACAATTCACGTCTAGTAGCATTGCTGAATTTTTGTTTTTCATTTCAAGTATTCTGGAAGAAAGAATTATTTTTAATCTATGAACCCTTTCTTATTTAGCGTTGTTTAGATGCATCGCAATTTTGATAAGCCCTCCGAAATTTCTTCATTTTTTCCTGAAGTTATTTTTCTTAGTATGTAGCTAATATGGCAATGTTGCTTTTAGTTAAATATCTTATCAAACCGAGTTTTGATGCCTTTGATGCAGATGAGACACTGGTGTCTATTATATATATATATATAT